ACCTAATAGGTTTGTAAAAACACATTTATCATAGAGTGTCGAACCCACGAGAACTATGTATTTGATCTTGTTAAAGTTATTAATACCCTTAATCGAATATAAATAAAGAGTTGTAGCAAATCGAAGCCTAAATTATCAACTAACTCGAATGCAAAGTAAAAGTTTATCAAATGCGTGAGATGCATAGGTAAGATGCAGAATTCTCCTTGGTAATCCAATTTTTACTTCAACAATTTGAATTGACAATTCGAAATCATGCTTGCTGGTGATGGTCTTATTTTAATTAAATGCTTCTCTCGATAGTAATTAAATCTAATCTTACACATGACCCTTCTATATCTTTATAAAAAATACGAACATTCAAGAAACATTGAACGTGCTAGAGCATCTATATAACCATGTGAAGCATAGATGTATATCTCTATTCTCTATCAAACCTCACAATATTTATCACTACTTGCTAATGATCCTACTATCTCTCTCGATGAAAAAAAAACCTACAAACAATTCAACTAATGGCCAGTTAATTGAAAGCAAACTAAACAATCATAAACATCTAAACATTAAAGCAAATTAACTTGAATTCAATTATTTAAACCAAAACTTCATAACAAGGGTTCATCTCATCTTAGCAATATAAAAACCTAGCCAAGCATAATGAAATTACAAGAATACATTCTAAAGTTAATAAACATTACCCGGAATTTAAATAATTGGTGATAAATCTTGAATTCTTGAATGACATCTTGACATCTCTTGAAGTTTCCTTCCAATTCTTGGGCAATCTTCGTGGTGTGAATTATATTCAATAGTTTTCTTGCAATTCCTTATTTGTAATCTCTTACAAAGATGAATTTGCCCAATTCTCCAGTATGATTCTCTTAATTGTTTGAGTTTTTTGTTGCATAAAAGAAGCTCTCCTATGTGTGTGGGACGTTTTGGTACTTATATGGCTCAAATCTAGGTTAAAGATATTGCCTAAACCCTTGACAATTGAGTTTTAATCATAAAAGGAAACTTGAATACGGCCAAAATCTTGTACTATGCGACCTTGGGATGCTACTGCATAGGTCATTTGTTGAATTCCAAAATTTTCTCTGCAGGGTTGAATGCAACCGCAAACCTTTTGAACTATGCGACCGCATAGTTCAAATTTTTTCTCCGTCGGACAATTATTAGTATTTTGATCATAATTTTCTCTCGTGATATCTGATTGAAGCGATTCAATGCGTTGAAAAGATTATTCAAAGGGCTACAATTTTTCTTTAAATAGAATGTTTCCAATTCGAAAGTTTACTATCCCAAAAATGGGTTTCAAATAAAGACTGAAAATCTAGAGTATAACTTTTTCGCCTGAAAGTTGATATGTGATAATATTTTGATTATATTTCATCTCTTTGATTTCTTTCCTTATCCGACTTGTCCCTAACACTCTCAAATCTTCATTGTAAGGTTCGACACAATTTTTTAGTATTTACACTTTAGTCCTCAAAAGTAGGAAATACCACACGTGATGGTCTATCTGTAATAACGATATCCGTATCTCGTTATTACTTACGTCCACGAATTATTCAAGATCCAATCATACGTAATTTGTATTTCACAATCACAATTCCTTGTAATTAGCAAATCACTTAAACTTGAATTTCAGACTCTATTATTTAATATTATTTATCAGAAAATTAATTTAAATAAATAATAGATCTTGTCAAAATTAAATAAATTAAACATATTAAAAGTATTTACAACTTAAATCGATTGGATTTAGGACATAATACTTACATGTGGCACTATGATCTTTTGCAGTCCAGATGTGAACGTGGTTGTTTATCCTTTATTCTCCTCAAAAGTGTTTTTTTTTTTTTTTTTTTTTTTTTTTGTTTCTTCTTCTTAATCGTCATCTGATTTTGCATCCTCCATTGATTATCCAACACGTCTTCTACCTGGATCTTTTCCAACAAGTTTTCCAGATGAGAGTGCCTAGTCGTAGGCAGGGGCGAATCGAGCATCAAAGTTCAGCTAGGGCGGAGATTGACTTTGACACCAAAAATCAAGTTTCGGGAATCTCCATCACAAGAAAGATAGTTTCTAAGAACTGGTAATCTAAGCTCATATTAGCCGGTGCTTTGGTTTTCCATTACAACATTTCAATTCTTATTGTTACCCGCAAAACTAATGCCCAAAATTACTTGTTAGTCACATCTTGTAATCTAAAAATTCCCCCTTTTTCTCTCTGTTGTGGCACTATACTTGATCTCCTTTCTAATTCAACATTTAATTCAAATATTCTCTGTTGATTTAGCATTTTTTTGCAAGAATTTTCCTAAAAAAGACAATGATTCCTTTCATATATTTCAATTAAATTAACAAATAAATGTGATATTGTACATTTAACTAAGTGAATGGCTAATGAACTTATAACAGAAAACCAACACTACAAATTAACTATGTCGTCATCACGACTTTTGTCCCCAAAAAATAAAAACAATACAGAGTACATATGTCAAAATCATGATATATCTCACATCAAGACTAACATTCAAAACAAGACTAAAGAATAAAAGGACTCACATTCGTGATCGATGCTTGAGTTTCCAGAAAATTGCATACTTCCAACCAGTTGAAACACAGGTCAGTTGCAATTCCCAATTCCCACTTCGCAAGCGTGAGGCGCCACAGCTGCTTCTGCTTCGAATGGAAAAAGGGAAATGGAAGGGAAGGGTTTGCATTTTGGGTCTAGGTCTTCGGCTCTTTGCTTAATTTGCCCTGCCGATTACAACTTCCAAATATTTGGGATTTGGAGTTTGGGTTGTTGGTTGATTTGGGTTGGGGAAAATTAATATCATGGATGATGGATCCTCTATTGGGCCTAATTTTTTTTAAACAAAAGGAGGCCCGCCCAATTCCGGTCATTAGTGTAAGCTCCAAAGAGAAAAATGGAAGTCATCTTCTTTCTTCCTCCTCCGGCACTGGCTCTGCATTCTGCGAACCTTGCATGGCTGCGCTTGCTGCCCGGCGGTCTTGGCGGCAACTGAACATTCCGACGGATCCAGCATGGGCGGCCGTGGGTGCTCGCCAGGTGCTGGATCCGCGCCTGGTCGTAGGCCGTTCCACAACATTTCATTTGCTTCCTTATTGGGTTCAATCTCACTAACGAACATCTCTTCTTTAAATGGTTAGAAATAACTTCTAATAGATTTCCCTTCCTTCTATTCGATGCTACTTGAGTTCACAACTTCTTGTATCATTCTGAGATTTGTTTGTTGACGAGGAAGCTAAGCGCTAGTTGAATTCGTTGGTAACTAATACATCGCATTCTTCGTGGTAGATTGGCCTTTTGCTGTTTGTATGGACGGCCATCATCGAAATTTTTATAATTCCTCATTCTCTAATTCTTCCATCAGTTAAGCTTCCAATCGTGAGCGCTTTCCTGGTTCACTACTTCGTTTACTAAGAATTTTCTATTCTACAATTTTTTCCACTTTCCTATCGAAGCAGCACCATAAGCTTGTGATACCTGCAAATCATTATTGCTTTTGGGGGAAAACTCAACATCATGCAATAATTTTCTTAGATTTTCCTTTGTTAATTATTTTTGACTTCTCATATTTTGTGCATAGATGTGCGTTTTTGGCCTTCAACGTCTCTAGTTTTTTTGGCATTTCATGGATTGCCTTCGGAGTGGGCCCTCCTTTCCCTTGAAGATGGCATCTGATGGGGAAAATTTTGGCTTGGAATCTTGCTAGCATTTTCTCTCGCTCTCTCTTAGGATTCATATGACTTTTCAATTGAATCATTGCTAGATTCTTCTTTTCTGACTTTTAGTAGTTTGAGTATATTCGGATCTTCTTCCATTCCATCCATTCTTCCAGATCCTTAAAGCTTCTAAACTTCGATGGTTGGATTTGAAGTTTCCTTTATTTGAAGTTTTCCATAGACGGCACAAATTTGTTGATGATACAAATTGAACAAAATGATTTTATTGATGAAAATCAATCACAATCAAAGATCAATGTAAATACAATCAACAAATTCTCTCACCTAACTATGATTTTCACATCCTAAATTTACTAGTCTATGTTTCAACTAAAACAAGCGGAAAAATAGCTATTTGAAAGGGAGATATTTGAATTGCATATCTTTCTTCAAGTCAAAGGGTGATTTTTTATAAATTTTCTTTCAAATATTGGGGTAATTTGGTCATATTTAGAGAATAACAGGTGTAATCGATTCAGTTAATAATTACTCTTTATTCACCGTGCCCATGTGCTTCTAATAGTCGAATTATGGGGAACGGTTCACGAACTTTATGCCTCCTTTGTTTCCTTTGCATTTTCCCTTCTACCTCACTAATGTGGACCTAGGTTCGCGGGTTAACAATTGAAGCACTCGTGTTCTTTGACCATACCTGTCTTGGCTTTGGCTTGAACCTACTTAATAAAAGAAGTGTTAATCTCGCAAGTGACTTTTTTTGATTTACATAAAAATCAGATTTTAATAAATTTATGAGATGTAAAGTTAAAAGTTATGAATCTCATGAAACGTATGATTAAAAATAATTATTGACTTTAACTGAACCAAACTGAACCTTAATAAAATTAAGCATGTGGTGATGTTACGTACTACATATGTTCACTTAATTTATGGTGATCATGTGCTTAATAGTGTTTTTGTTGTTTGTTACATAAATACAACACGAGCGAATATTGTCTAAAATGTAACATATCAAACATAATATTCAATTGTTTTAATACCCAATAATCGATTAAGAAAAAGGCTAAGTGTACAACTTTTACAGCTTTCTCACAAAACGTGGGGCCCGTGCCTTAGAAGGCTGCCATAGTTGCTGCCAAAACAATTGTATTTATAGCATGTCTCATCGACTAATTGGGAAAAAAGACACCGCTAAGAAAGAGAGTGAACTTAATTGTCAAACAAAGAAACTAATCCAAAGATATGTGCTACACATAAAGTGGTAACTACAGATGAAGACAAATCAATTTTACACCAAATTAGAACCTTAATCTATTAATATCCAACCAACAGCATTTCAAGAAAAGCAAAATATAGAATAAAGAGCATCCCAATAGGATTCGTACATTCTTTTTGACCAAACCCTAGTCCAAGATCCTTCTTTTCTTGCCCCACAATATAAATAAAGGACAAAAGACTTGGGTTCACATGGTTTTCTTGCTTTTCCTTCACTTTACTTTTCAACAAGTTCAAAATCACAAAAAACACAACCCCAAAATTACATTCACCAAAGCAAAGAGGACCCCATTTGGATAAACTTTTACTTCAATTTTCCTTTCTACATTAACACAAGATCAAACCATTCCACCCCATGCTTCAAATATAAATGTTGTCTGATATTTTGTCAAACTTGCCAATTAATAATCTAACCGTAACTGTAGAGGAATTTCAAGTTCTATATCTGTTGTTTTTCTCTGCAGCAATAGCAAGAAGCCTCGAAACACCTTGAGTCCAAATATCGTATTCTCTCTGATTTTTGCACTCGAATTCGACAATCCCTCGTGCCACGGTCTTCAATGCAAAATATCGTCGATCTTCACCACCCTCAAGCAAGTGGCGGCCTGGCCATGCTGGAATGTCCTTCAATACCTCCAGCACTACATCTGAAAATTCAAAAGAAAAGGAAAACTAAAAAGTTAAAGGTGAATACTTTATTAACTTTCTTTAAATTCATTGCATTTTCCACTTTCTCAGATCCCCAGATGGAAGTCCCACCACCTCCGATCTGATCTCATCATGAGAGATTGAGAAAGACAAAAGCATAATCAACTTACTCTTTTTCTTTTTAGTGACAGTCCCAGCAACATGTTTGCTCTTCATCTTCAACATTACCTAAGCCAAAAAGAAAGGAATAATAAGTTGTAGATGGCAAGAAAAAGTGAAAAAGCAGAGTCATATTGTTCCCATCATTTTGAACTTTAACTTTTCCTTTTGATTGCAATTTCCTTATCGTCCCTACCATTGATTGATTAGATATTATTTTCATCAGATTATCAAAGTGAGTGCAATAATGCATCAAAGATGGTTAATTATTCAATCATGAAGAAGAAAAGCCTACCTGACCTGTTTTGTTGATATAAACGGACACGATTTTCCAGTGAAGATCACCTGCAATTACAGGCATAGAACTTTCAAGCAACTTAAAAGAACATTGCAATTTGAAGTTACACAGAGTGAAACAATTTAAGAAATAAATCTTCAGGCGAGGTTGAAGAACTTCTTGACAAAGAATAAGGATAATAGAAAATCTCTAGGAATCATTTCCACCACATTTCGAGTATCACCAAGTTGTGTGCTAATGGAATTATAATTCTAGGACATAATTGTCAATTATTCATCCAATTATAACTAATATTTAAACGGAAAACTTCAATTAGGATGAGTTACCATTGCGAGTTAGTTTCAGGAGCTCAGAACCTCTGGCCAGCAATTCTCTACTGCAAATTCCGAGGAAATTCTCTTCGGGAACAAGCTCACCACTGAAACTACTGTTTGAGCTTCCATTACTGCCCCCATCTCCACTTGTAGTAGCTCCCATCCCTTTATCAACAGGGATCACAGCTGCAATATTCCACACTTCCTTCAATGCCCTTGCCCTTAATGTGGCTGCACCACGCAGAGCTACAGAATAGATACCATTTAGAGAACTTACGAAAATCAACAATCGGCAAGAAACATACGAATATTATCAATCAAGATATTAATTAACAATTTGTACCATGTCAAAACTATCAGCAGCAAGCAGAAATTTCCATATAAATTATAAATTAACAAGTATAGAATTCAATTCACCCAAATCCCCATTAAAAATTCAATAAAGCATACCAGTAGCAGCAGCTGCTGTTAAGGTCATGATATCGCCTGCTGACCGAACATTGACAGCCGAGCTAATAACTGAAGCCAAGTATTCGCGTTCAGCTCCCATTGACTCGGCTGCTTCAACACATTGTGCCGCCACCAAGGTCGCGGCAGATGCCACGGCCATGTCAGTTTTAGCCATCTGCTCATCCTTCCCAACCCCAGATGATGCTGCAGTGGCAGCAGCTATGGCAGCAATGGCAGCAGCAACCCCGGCAACAGAAATGGCAGAATGGAGCTGAGCATTCTGTGCTCTATTCTCCTCTTTCTTTTTCTCTTTCCTGTCTTTCAACCACCTTCCCACTGTCTTCCCACCTGCACCCACAGTGGTACCACTAGCGGCACAGCTACGGTACTGGCTATTTATGGGGTTCAGCCGACAGTACTGCAAAAGCAAACCGGCATCAGCATTTATACTAACAAAAATTACGCAGTAGACCAGTAAGTATTGCAAAATAAGCAATGAAATAAATCTAAAATCACATTTTTAGGCCAAGAATGCACCGCATACCTAGTGATTCAATTAATGTGACCCATTTTAACCCACCCCCCATAAGTATATTGGACCGGTTCCTCTAGGTACATAATAATTTAGGATCATATTCTTAGAGAGATGAAAGAACACTAAACTCAATTATTACCAACAATCATTCATATATCTCCATTCTTGATTGGCAAGTGAAAGGACAAACTAGTAATTCCAAACAATCTCATTCTTATCACATGTAGAGACAAAAAGGGTCAGTAAATCTGCAGTGATTATGTACCGAAAGGTTAAAATTTTCAATTCTTCTTTCAACTGAAAGAAGGTCATTAGGCTTTGCAAATATAAGACAACTTGACAGTATAATGAATAGATTTTAAAACTCAAATTAGACCTTGGGATCATCCATTTCAGGGGGTGAGACAGGAGGGCTGTCAGTGAGAGATCCACACCCATTAAGAGGTCCACTGCTGTGGGATAGCCTTCCAGAAGTGCGAGGTGATACCTCCTGCTGTGCATTTAAAATCACATATCAGCATATAAAGTTTTCCAAATTCAAATCACATAAAAAAATTTAATCTTGGAAAAAAAAAGAAAAAAAAAAAACACATTGAGAGAAGATGGAAGGAATGATTGTTAGTTGACAAAGATAAGCGTGATATCTTTTAGTATTCTTATTAGTCGTCGTGTTTCCTCGATTATATGTCTTACATAAATGTTTCAGAAATAGCTTATAGTTCCAAGAAACTCTTGGTTTTCCCATAAAACACCAAAATAATCATTTTTTACCGTCACTGTATAAACACACAAAACTGAGGAAAATAAACAAGAATCAAGAAAGCTAATTTTTAAGGATAAAAAAAAAAAAAGCAGGCTAATTATCTAATCTCAATAAATTCCAAAACAGAAGAGAATAAGTTAAAATTAGTCAAATAATTCCACAAAGAGAAAAAAAGCAGATTGGTTGTGGACAAAAAGAAGATATTTTTGTCGTCAATTTGTTATCAAATCGAGTATATACTTACAGACTGAGACATAATGCGTTCCATGACAAACTGTGAAGTTTCAGAAGAAGCAAAGGAAAAAGGGTTCCCGGAAACAGCAGCCTCCAACTCGCCGGCGCGATTTTTTGTTTCCTATCAACCAGTCAAAATTTAGCACATTCCTACACAGTCGTTAAAAATGACGAAATCGCCCCCGGGACACTCCAAGAACGGGATAAGAACTCCATTGGCTCTCTTGGAGTCTCCGGCGGCCGGAACATTGACTTATGTTTAGCCTGTTCCATTTCTCTGTGGAGTGGAGGTGGAGTGAAACTGTCGAAGTGCGGTTATGGGAGCGGTTGAGAGAGAGAGAGAGAGGTGTGTTAGAAAGATTAATGGGTGAGTTGGTTCTTTATTGAGTCTCTATAGAGAGAGATGTCAGTGTGTGTTCGTGGGTGTGAGAGAGATGTCAGCGTCTCACAAGGCTTTGTGCTGAGAATTACTTAGGAATCATACTACTCGTGCAATTTTTATCGAAATTTCACATTTTACAGTATTACATCCATTCACTTTAAAAATAAATTTTTTTTTTTTAAATTCAAAGGCTCGCATTTTGACAAGATCAAGGTTGTCAACAATTATTGTCAACAAGGATATACAAATAGCTAATTCAATGATACGAAATTCTTAGACCAAGTTCCCTTGTTTGGTCGAAATTAATCAAAATTTTTATTTAAGTTAAAGTTAATAATTAATTTTAATAAATATTTAACCACATATTTAATCAACTTTTGTTAAGATTTACTAAATTTTTTTTTTCAATCTCCATCAAACAAGGACATTTTTTTTTTAGATTATAAGTTTTTCAACCATTTAACTGTTGATTTTTTTATTTTTAATTTTTAATTTTTACTACCCAGATGAATTATGAAACATTTTGTGACAATCTGCATGAATGTTAAATGCTGAAACTTCATAGCAATATAATCATGATGTGGCAACAGAAATTAAACCACACTCCTTTCGCTTGCTTTCATTTGCATACAGATAAAGAAAATGTAATTTATATAATTGAAAATATAAATTTTTCTTATATTAAGCTTCTGATTGAGCCCCCTTTTCTCTCATTTTATTTTTATTTTTTTTTAGTTTTTCTACAATTTTCATTTTCAACTACACACTCTTCATTGAAATAATATTACACGTAAATCAAAATTTATCTTCTTTTTTAATCATATATTTCCCATTAATTTACTATTCAATAATACATTAAAAGGACCTAATGGAGCTCAAACAAGACCTAAATATACTTGTATATTAAGTAATGGTTCAAAAAAGAATATTTTTATTTGTTGGTAACAAGTTACATTAAATAGAAGTATATTAGAAAATTGAGCCCTCCGGAGCATATCCCAGTGGTGTAAAGGACAAGGGTGAAGTATACTCAACCTTGCTAGCAGTTGCAGTGTGAGGGTTTGATTTCTAAAACATGGATTGTGACTCTTTGTGGGTATTAGTGTACAAACAGCTCTTATTCCCTGCCCTGTTGGGGCACTTTCCGCAATTAACCTTTCTCACGATGCTCCAAGATCGAGGTGGTGGAGGATCCTTAAGATTGGGATTCAACCTTTGTATTAAAAAATTGAATTAATGCACATGAGAATTCGTTTCGATTGATTGTCTTCTATTCATTATTCAAGTACAAGTGATTCAGTTGAAAAGGACTATTTTGGTTTTAAGCGTTTAAACCCATTGATTGAAATCCTACTTTTTTATTAGGAGAGAAAATCAAGTGTACGTTCCAAATGGTGTACCAATTATTTTCTTTATTTAATTTAAATGTGTCGTTTTGAGTAGTAATATGGCAAGTAAGGGTCATTTCCCGTAGAGAATTGATTCAATTATGTCAAGTGCGCACAAAAACATAATATTAACAATTAAATGCGAAATATATTAAATGGGAAGTTTGTTTCGTTTAACTAAGGAAAGCGATGAATTCGAAATAGAAAAGACTTGAAATTTGAAACAAACAAAGTGGTTGTCGATTGAATATGAGAAAATGTGATTGGGGGATATTTCATCACCACGAGAATGATTTTCATGTCAATTACCACAAATATTTTCGTTATCAAGATTAACAACAATTCGAGAATAATTACATGCTCAGTTAGCTCAATCTCTTCTTACATGTTAGTCGAATAAAACAAGCTCTTTACTCGACCCTATTCATTAAACTTAAAACAGACTCTCTAAATTTAATTTAACAAATGCATTACGACAAAAGAGATGAATTGAATTAAGAGCAAACTCGCAATCTCGATTTACTAACTTAAGTGTTGATCCACATACATTCAATTGAAAATTCTTCATAATCTCTTGAAATGTAATTGCCACAAAGGTTTAGAATCAATAGCTATTACGTACTACTAATCCCAAAATAGCATTAATCGAAACAACTCAATCATTTAGTTGTACATCTAAACAATCAAGAAGAACAAAATCAATATTTAACACAGTGGATTAAACACATCAATTAAGAGAACTATAAAGTACAAATTAATTGAAAATCATAACTCGGTTTTAATTAATCCCCAATCACAAATATATTTAGTTACCCATGAAATATTGACAAATAACTAACAAATTCTTACAACCCATTAATGGAAAATAAATTAGAGAAAAGAAAAGCTTATTGATAATGAGAGCAATGGGTCTCCTCTTCCAAGCTATTTCACTATCTCTAAGCTCTAATCTTCCCCAAAATATCCAAACCAATATAGGTTAAAAGAAGAAGTAAAAAGAAAAAGGGAAAGAAAATAAAATAAAAAGAAGACAACCGACAGCCTCAAAGAAGAAGAGAAGTCCAGTTGGTTGTTCTAAATTTCTCCCTCCTCCAAGAAGTCCAGAAGCTAAGGTTTTAATATTTTAACCTAAAGGAAATTTTCAAGAAAGGTCCTTGGAGTTTAGAAAAAAGTAATAATACCCGAGTGGCGCCTAGGCCTCGGAACAGTGGTGCCTAGGCAATGCATATTTTGCCCAAACTAACCGGGCGCTATTTTTGCTTTCTTTTTATTTTTATTTTTTTATATAGTTTTCAGTTGCGTCTTTGGTTGTCTTCTTCGTTTTCCTTCATCTTTAGCTCATTTCTTGCATAAATTCCTTCTAATTATCGCTCAAAATTAGGTTTTCACATACACAATAAAAATAATTAAATTAGGCAATAAATTGCTGATGAAACTCACAAATATCTAAATTTAATGGTTCGAATATGTGCCAAAAACCGACACTTATCAACTTTCATAAGATCATCAGTATAAGGTGTAAAATTGGATTAAAATTAGATTTTTTAGTAGATTATGATAGAAGTTTTTGAAATGTATGGTTGAAAAGTTGTAAGACCAATGAAAGATGTGATTAATATTGATTGTTTGACTTTTACTTAGATTAAAATTGGTCTTTAATTCGAACCAAACAAGCTGTAATAAGATGATTGAAAAATGAAAAAAATGGATTCTCCATTACTATAAGATTTGGCTTTATGTCTGAAATAACAATGAACCAACCTTTCGACTTTCTTGACGGAACAATGTAGCTTCTCTACTCCGGTGAACAGTGAACCAGTGAGAAGAGGTTGGAGTTATCTCTCCCATTGCACCTCTGACATGAGAATTAGTTGTTGAGTTTAAGTAAGGATTGGCATGAGTTGGGTTGGGTCGATTTTTTCCCTAATCCAAACCCAACATAACATGATCGGTTTAACCTAGAGATGGCAATCGGGCTCGTAGGCTTGGGCCGCCCGTGGCTCGGCTCGAAAAAAGCTCGAGCCCGCTCGACTTGAGGCTCAGGAGAACCGTGCCGAGACTTGAGCCAAGCCCCATTTTTAGGTGCCGGGCAAAGCCCAAGCCAGCCCGTGTGGCTTGCCGACTCGGGAGAACGGAGCATATATTTTTAAAAAAATTTTAAAAATTAGGTAGCATGCTGCTGCCAGAAATAGGCAGTAGGTTGCTACCTTATTTTGCAGCAACCTGCTACCTTAAATGGTAGCTTATAAGCTGCCTCTTTAAAAAAAAAAAAATCCAAAACCAAACAAAATTCGAGCCGAGCTAGAAAAGGTTCAAGCCGAAAGCTCGGGTTGAGCCTAATATTTTTGTCGAGCTTTTGCTTGGCTCGGTTCGGGCTCGAAAATAAGCTCGGATATTTTACCTGAGCCAAGCCCGAGCCTAGAATTTCAGTTCACAAGTCAACTCGTTGACATCCCTAGTTTGATCTAAAATCAAAACGAGTTTGAAGCTGCCTCTTTTAAAAAAAAATCCAAAACCAAACAAAATTCAAGCAGGCCTGGCTCGGCTTGAAAAGGCCCGAGCGGAAAGCTCGGGTTGAGCCTAATTTTTTTTTCGAGCTTTTGCTTGGCTCAGTTTGGGCTCAAAAATAAGCTCGGATATTTTACCCGAGCCGAGCCCGAGCCTAAAATTTCGGCTTGCGAGTCAACTCGTTGACATCCCTAGTTTGACCTAAAATCAAAACGATCAAACTCATTTAATGATTTAAACCTAACCCAACCCAAACTGATCAAGTTTGGGTCAATTTAGGTTGGTCGGTTTGGGCTTCGACCCAATTAAAGTTGGATCCAATTATTATTTTTGTTGAATTGAAAACCTTTATTTTTTTAATACTTATATAAGGAATTCTTTCTGAAGAATAATATATAAATAAGTTTAAAATTTACAAAGCATTAAATTTTTTTATTTTTTATTTTTACAATTTTTTGAAATTTATTCATCTTATCATCATGTTCTTACTTTTTACTTTATTATCAAATAACATTTTATTTGTACAAAGTGTTTATGTGAATCAATTTATGTAAATAAAATGGGCTCCTCATATCTTTACAATATGTTTATTTTCGGTTTTTTTTTTCATCTTAGATATTAATTTTTTTAATTCAATGGGTTGGATTGGGTTGGGTTAGGTTTTGAATCATAACCTGAGTCCAACCCAACCTCAAATTTAATATTTTGATCCAACCTAATCCAATTGAACTTAAAAAACCTACCTAAATCGATTGGTTTGGGTTGGGTTGATTGGGTTGAGCAATTTGATTTGGATTTTGCCTAGCCTTAAGTTTAAGTGGAGAACAAATGACACTTAGCATG